ACCAGACTGGATGAGGTTGAAGTGCCAATAGATTGCACCCCAGTGTTGCAGTCAGCATCTTTTACTCATGCTCCTCAGAATGATGATCACAGGTTATTTCCAGTGATCTGGCAAAACTACTCTGGGTCTCACCCTTTTCTTCTCTCATTCTTCCAAGGGTAATCCCTCAGCCATAACCCGGTGAAGAGACTTTCCCTTCCCTCCACCCTTCTGTCCGTATTCACATCAGTGTCCACAGACTCTCTTACCCAGAACAGGTTAGAATCGTAAGTCCCTGGATCTGGGCTTCTTATAGTAGTTCCTTGCTGTCAGCAGGCCAGAAGTCCCTAACTACCATGTCTTGCTGCTCCATATGTCTTTGGCCTTCCCAGCCTCCTGTTTGGCATTGCTTCAGTGATCACTCAGCCTGGTCCTGTGCCTCTACACAGGCATGCACCTCTCCTAGCAGAGATTATGCTTCTTCTCCCTTCTCCAGGGAGAACCAGAGTCTCTGTCTCCTCATCCTTATATGGTCTGGGACCCACTGTCAGCTCCTTCCCTCATGTACTCTAAGGGCCGTAGAGTTCTCTGCCCCCGCACAGAGAACTTCCCGGTTCACTTCTGGTCATCTAATATGGCTGCCTGGAGTAGCCAGGAGTCTTTCCACATTGGGAGTGGTTTCCCATCACTCCTGGGACCCTTTCCCCACACCTCTGGACAGATCCATCTGCCTGCTACTCCTGGGTGAGTCTTCTAGCCAAGCTGAATCCTGGGACTGAAGGGTCTTGTGTGTAGCTCCTGCCATGCTCAAATCTGTAATGGGAACCAAGACTCAGCTCCCTGTTACACTGGGTTTATCTTGTGAATCGTGTGTAGGGATTTGCTCATCTAACAATGCTAATATTGCACAGCACCCTTTAAAAGGATCTCACAGTACCTCAGGTTGCCACAGCACCCTGATTGGGAATCACTGGTACAGCATATAGATGGACTTAACATTTGTACTGGTATTATAGGACACCAGTGCAATGTAACTGTTAGGTCTGCATAATTCTGCAGTGATAAAGTTGTAGATCTGAAATGTTAGTGCTGCTTCATTTGAAATCAAAGTTCAGGTGATTTATCTTACTTGTATTGCTACAAGATCATGCAGATGTAACAGGTCATTACTGCTGATACATGCTCCCACAAAGCAGCTTTCCCCTCCCTTTTTCAAGTGGTCAAAGGGTATGTTTGTAGATACCCAGAGCTGAGAGTTAGGTTGTAGGGAGCTGCATCTTCATACATCGTATCTCAATCTAGCCTCATAACTATTATTTTCATATGACTTTAGCCTAAATGTAGAAGTGTGTGCTTAATTCACACATATTTGTAGGTGATATCATTTAGTTCATTGTTATATTAGGGGGAAAAAAAATCTCTCTTTGGCTTAATTCTCTGTTCACGTGCCTTCTCCTCCACCATGCCTTCTATGCATTTCTATTTCTTTACTCATCCAGCTTGACAGTTACATTTCTTATATTATTTATGGTTCCTACTAAAGTATATAATAGGATTCTAGTGTATATGTATTCTGGTTCTGCTGCCTTATGCACTTTTCTGATATCACTTTTTTATTATTATGACATTGAAGTTGAAGTTTGTTTTTATGAGCTACAATGTATTATGGGCATATCTGTTTACAAACCTGTTAGCTGAAATATTTTCACCACAAATATTTTACTGGCACATGTAAATAAATCAGATATTCCAAAGGAATACGAGTTATTCCTTTACCTACCTGTGAGAGTACAGTCGGAGAGCACATTACAAGTATATCCAAAGAATGACAAACTGTATAATGACTGATACTTCCTGAGCATGCAGCATAGAAACGATTTTGTAATGATAAATATACAATAACTGAATAATAAAAACAAGAGAAAAACACCTGTTCGAGACATCCACTGTTGAGAAAACTGATCCAGCAGTAAAAGCACTGAACAGTGAATAAAGCCATTATGTTTGTTTTGGCATGAAACACAAAGAAATATTTTTCACATAGAAATCACTGTAGCATTATTCAGAGAAATGTTTGCAAACCTTAAAAGCTTCATTGATTTTAGCATGAGCAACTTTTCATACAGAACTATGCATCAGAAATTGATACTTCGTTATTCCTTGTTAACCTTTCCCAATAATTTAGTCTTCCAATCAAGAAATAGGACCACCATCATTTGACCAATCCTACAGTATAGATACTTAATAGCCCAAGTGAACATTTCACAATCATAACATGGTCTCACAGTATCACCAAAGGTTACCATGTTAATTTTGCCCTGCTAATAGTCAGAAAAATCTTGTCTCTTCTTCACACATTACTGTTTTATTTACAAAGCTAACACATTCCAAAAAAAGACCACATGTTCTGATTTCATAGACCAATGGCTGCTGCAGATTCACTCCAGCTACAAGAACCTCCAACAGAACAAGTCCATGCAAAGCTTGGATTAAGTGGTCACAGCTTCATGTAAATACAGAATAGTAGGTCTAAAACAAAGGTTTAACTGCTAGAGTCAATATAATGTTATTTAGGAAGGGACACAGTGTGTGAGGATGAGGTACACTATGCACTACAGAAGTGGTCACTGAGGCAAGCAATTCATATAAAACTACATCTTCAGGTGCTCATTCACCCTGACAGGAGAGGACAAGCCTACTGCATCATGTTTGTCACAGGCAGATGACTCTCAAGCAGGTAGCCTGTCTCTGTTCAGAACTCTCTCAGAGCAGAGAATACAGCAAGAATAATTGTCCCTTTACTGATGACTTACATTCAATGCCAGTCAATCACAATTACTAAGAAGCTTACTGGAGGGGGAAACAGAGAGAGACACATTGGCTTACAAGGCATTCCACAATGCACAGCCTGCTACTAACTGAGGTAGAGAAATAAGAGGGCAGTGGAGAGACAGAAGGAAAGACCCTCAAATCAGGACAAGCTACATTTAGCTGAAAGAATAGCAGGCAGAAGATTCCTCTCATGAGCCCCAGCAACTACTTAAGTTTAAGCAGAACACGTATCAGGCAACAGGTTACAGTCATGGATGTAATCAACATTATGATCCCTAGCTGTTCACAAACCTATGTGCATTGTGCAGTACTATAGGACAGGAAGCAAAATCTTTGTACATTGTGTCTATTGTATATAAACCACTGATCTTTATTTATGACTGAAACTGTCCAGTTTAGATCATATCTGGCAATGACTACAATGGGAAGGATGCTACAGTGCAGTCAGAGATTATCTCTATGTTAAATTGATGGAGGGTTGAGATAAAGTGTACTTTTGATCTCCATGTTGTACACGTATTGATTTTAAGCACTGGGTCCCCAAATCTGATGATCTGAAACTCACAATTATTTCAAAAGAGTGTTCTTTTGGAGAGCTTTAAATGTGCTATTTCCAAATTGTTGCTGTATAAAGCAGGTTTCTGGGCAAAGAGAAAAAATACACATGATATAAATCTTGACCTTGTCAGTATATTTGCTTGTTTTTTTCTTAAGCATTTGGATGGGGCATAGGTCTCCAAAATTAAAATAAAGCACAGGTCATTAGAATTTAAGAAAATAAATATGGACAACATGATTTTGTAAGGGAAAAGGATGATTAGTTCTGTAGGAGTATCTTGCCTGGAAATGGTTATGTCTATTAGTTTAATATAATCACCCAGATAGAATAGGTAAACAATTAAAATAACTTTCTAAAACTTTAACTTTGGAATACCAATATTTTTGTAAAATAAAACACTTAACCATTGCCCAAGAAACACCAGCTACTCATATATATGGGCCAAAACATGCGGTCTTCACTCAGGCAAACTATCCATTAAGTTCCAAGCAAGTAAGAATCAAGTAAGGACGGCAGGATTTGGCCATGATGTTGATAGATAATTAAAGGCAGCTGCCTGTCCAGTACACTTTGACAAAAGGAGGCTAGAGAACAAATACTTATCACCGTATCAAATGGAACTGAATAGCAGGACCCTTTTCTGTTGTATCTGCCCATTGTATATATTTATAAAGTGCTTGTCCCCAACTTGCCAAACACTGAATTTTTGACCAGTGGTATAACCACTCTCAAACCTGTGAAGGCTTTGATTGCAGTGCTGTTTGGGCTAACTCATGTACACGGGACAGTGCAGAATTAGCTTACTCTCAAACTCAAAATACCACTAACATAGTGACTATGTAGTCATTTCCATTGCTCCTAGGCAGTAGTAGATCTTACCCTACACAGACTTTTTAAATTATATTTTATTTTTAGCTAATGATTCTATGTAGCCTGTTATCTCATTTAACAAACTTGATAAGAATAATATATTGATTGCTCTAACTCAGGTCCTTCTGTAGAAAACACACATTATTTGATCCAGGGCTTGCAAGTTAATTCTGTTTACGGGCTGTCCATGATCAGACCTTTCCCCCCCACATATTGAGCTCTACTATGCTGTTTGTTCCCCTTGTGCCTCTAAGGGAGATAGGATCTCATAAGAATTAAGTTTCCAAATTTAGACACCAATTTGCACCAGCAAACAACATGCAAACATATGTGCAATGTCCTTTGCACACTTAGACCTCATACTTGGACATGAAAATCAAGTATTTGCGGACATAAAGGGAATTATGAGGGTACACACATAATGGATCCCTTTATATATATTGACATTATTCAATTTACAGTCTTTAGCATTACTGCTTTGCATACAAGCAATATTAAACTCTTTCTAGATACCTAGTTATTACCACATAATTTATGGCACCCAATTCACTCCATTAGTAAATGACAAAAAAGAGACGAAAATAATGAAGCTATTTTCCAATCAGGTTTTGAGAGAGAAATAGTACTAAACATATTTAGATGAATTATATTTGCATTAGCTCTTTGGATATTGTAAGAGAATTTTCATTTCCACTCATATCATTTACTTTTATTTATAATGTGCATGCATTAAAATAATTACTGTTGCATTCATTGACAGAAAGGGCATCAAAATATTGTGATGAAACAGGAAATTGGTTCCGACATCCTGAGAGCAATCGGACTTGGTCAAATTATACACTGTGCAACTCGTTCACTTCTGAGAAACTGAAGGTAAGCTACAAAAAAATTCAGTATAGTCCAAGAATGATATGAAGCTGAACCAGCAGCAAATTATTTGTGAAAGGTTTCTATTGTCTAAAGATGAACAAGGGCACCCCAGCTTTGTTGCTATAGGAACAGTATATGAAATTATATAGTGGCTTGTTTCTTTGTGTATAGTCATACAGATATACAACTGTACTAATAGTCATGGATAAAATAGCATTGGGAAAACACAGATAAAATAGATAAGCAGCATTAGTAAAAGGGACTAGAAGCCAGAGTTCATCCTACCTCACAGGGCCACCGAGTCAGGTTCCATCTTCTGGCCTCCCTGAATGAGCAAACTCAGAACTATTAATTAGTTTTCTTCTGGGCTAAATCTCAATGCAACTCAAACATGACTTTTTGCAAGCAGATGTTATCACCCCACACTTGATTCCTTTGAAAAATGATCAGTATAGAGATACCGGTAGAGTAATAGTTATACAAATCTGTTGCACACACTTAACACTTCTACTGGAGTCTGAACACTTCTACTCAAATCAGTAGGGTTATTTGCCTGAGTAAAGTTAAATATGCACAAAAACTCTTCCAGGATCGGAACATTAGCCTCAAGGGAAAAATTAAAAATAATGCAGTTTATGAAAGATAAATCAACAAGGGGCAAGAAATCTGAGTAAAAGCTTTTTAAAAAATCCAGCATTTTTGGCAGTGATCATGCAAATCAATACATTTCTGAAAGCCAAGTGGAGAGCCAAGAAGACCTGATTACAATAAATGATTTCTAACTCCTTGGAATTCTGGGAGGAAAAGAATCAGAAACTGATGTGTTGTTTTCATGGCTTTTTAAATAGCTACTTGCATCTCTGT